ACTATGAGGAAAGATGCAGAAAACCACCGGTCAGTCAAGGATGTCAGAGCCAGCTGGCGTGCAGAGGACCTCATGCTAGCCTATTATATGACCATTCACAGTAGTCAAGGGTTTGGGGTTGTTCTAATAAGACATTATCAAGCACTTAAATGAGTGGTCTCTTTGCAGCTCTAGAGTGTGGCCTTAGGTACTTAAATATGAGAAAATTTTTGTGCTTTGCCAGTCATTTCACAATGATTTTTTTATGAAACCTTGATTATAGGTTGTTGGTATAATTTTGTTGATGGAAGTCAACAGTGTCAAAGAGCTGGGTATAATGTTGGTAGTTATCCGAGGAGGGGGAGCTCGATAGCAGTTTGTGTTCTCTGTGTTAATTATTCAGTCACCTAGGCTACAGCACAGGAACAGAGGACCTCCTATAACTGCCTTGGAGCAGGCCAGATCACACTTACACACTTCTTCTGGCAACTGTGCACAGAGAAGGCACCCACAAGGCCATATGCTTCCTAGAGAAAGAACAAAGGTGTCTACTATACTCAGAATGCTTGGTCTTCAGACCATAATCACCCACTCCGTTGGATGCAGTTTCCAGACTTTGTGCTGGACTACCACCAACTTGCTGCGGCTTGGGGCATATCATTTCAACACTTTGTGTCCATTTTCATAACTAAGAGTCAAGCATCACATTGGGGTATTTTATTAGAAGACTTTTAAGGTCCTTTATAGCCCAAAGATTCTGTGTTTCTAATTAAGCCCAATGAATCAGAGCTACAAGGAAATCTTTAGTTTCCTGGAAGGAAGAGTCTTATAGCAGAGTCCAAAGATAGAATGGGCTGCATTCAAGAAAGGGGTGGGGCAACCTCTTTGCAGGTATGCTACAGAGGGAATTCAAGCCTTGTGTGAAAGAGTGGGTGTGGTATGACCAAATAGTTTTCTAAATTCTTTCCAATCTGTGAGATCATAGCCTTATGGACTATAATTTGGAGCAAACCAAGGGTGTGATGCCAGGCAGGTCAATATCCCTAATGAACATAGAAGCAAAAATCCTCAACAAAATACCAGCAAACCAAATTCAACAGGACATTAAAATGGTCAAGTGGGATTCATCAAGTGGGATCACCATGATCAAGTGAGATTTATCCCAGGGATGTAAGGATGGTTCAACTTATGCAAATCAGTAAATATAATTTACCATATTAACAGAATGAAGAACAATGATCATCTCATTTGCATCTGTTGGTCATCTCAATAGATGCAGAAAAAGCATTTAACAAAATTCAGCATCCTTTCATGATAAAAACTCTCAATAAATTAGATATAGAAAGACTTTACCTCAACACAATAAAGGCTGTATATGACAAGCCCACAGCTAACATCATAGCCTGCTGTGAAAAGCTGAAAGCTTTTCCCCTACGATCAGAAACAACACAAGGATGCCCATTCTCGCCATTTCTATTCAATATAGTCCTGGAAGTCCTAGCCAGTTTCATTCTTAATGGGTCTCATTTTTTTCATCATAGAATGGGATATATAATAATCCCTGTTACACACTTTGCACAAGATTATTAAGCTTTGTAAACTAATAAAATGGATGGGATTGTTATTATTATGAATCCTGATAACTTTAGCCATATACTTGGAGAAGTAGAATAAATAGGAAAGAAGTAATAGCAATCCAACCATTGTACATTATCTCTGCCATCATTTGGGGAAGTGATAATTCAAATAGGAGAAATGGGTTGGAAGCAAGCTTGAAAGGTTTTCTGTTCTATCTCTCGTTTCTGTCTCTAATCCAAACTATACAGGTTAGTCACAGTCCTATTTTTTAGGACTTCTTGAAGAGAATGCTTTTACATCCATCTTTGGAATCCTCAACCGCTTCTATCACTAAGTGTCATGTCAATCATTAAATTCATCATTCTGCTTCAAAATAAACACATGCCATGTGTGTTTTTGTATATTTCGGTTTGTTGTATGCTTTATGTGATCACTCATATACACATATATGCACAGAGAATCCAGAAGCCCAATGTGTATACACACATGCCTTACATGTAGAAATGAATACGTGCATAAATGTCTTGTTTTATGCCTATATTGCATATGGTTTGCAACATCGTTGCTTCTCTAATGCTGTATTAAGCACCTTGATTTTTTGGAGGGCTTTAGAAAACAAAGACAAGAGACCAGATCACTCTAGATATAAGAGACAATGTTACGATAAGTTACTATCCTAAAAGGAGAGAGTAAAGGGACAACCAACAATTGTTTTGGATAATTTCTTGCTTACTGGCAGTTCTAAAGCCCTTTATTTGAAAGACTCTGAAATATATTACACATGAAATCCAGACATCCTTCAAGACTCCTAGAGCTGCAAAAGATTTTAATAATTTTGTAGCCCAACCAATTTCACGTTATCAGTGGGACCCAGAGAAGGAAAAGGACTTGTCCAAGGTTATATAGTAAGTTAGTGATAAGGCCGAACAAGGATCCAGATCTTGTGACTTCTAGCCCAGTGCTCCTTCTCTTATCTGGAACATATATTTTGTTCAGCAGAGATTTCCTCTGTAACCTCAAAACCTAGTACAGTGTCTGGCAAATAGTACACATAGATGCTCAGTATATGCTAAATTAATATGCAATAGCTTTGTACTGGGCTTTGCACTTATTACTTGGTAAATCATAAAGGATTTTAGGTCACCTTATTTTAGTCCAAGAGGCATCCTGGGAAAAAGTATGAACTATGGCTAAGGAAATGATCTGAGTTCCAAATGGAAAAAAAAAAAAGAATTTATGCTTTTTCCACTGTAATCTCTCTCATTCACAGGGTGATCCTCTTTCAGAAGTGGAATCTAGAACTCCTCTGGAGATCCTTAATTCATTGGGCATGCAAGCATTCTTTGGCAAACTGGAGTCCAGGAACTAATATTTTCCTGTGGAAGAAGAGGTTTCTCAAAGAAGTCAAGTACTTCTAAGTTAAGCTTATTTCAGTAATCAGTATGATGAGCTAGTCTTGAGGATTGCAGCAATGTCAATCCTGTGGGGGTGTCCCAGTTCTAGAACACTCACAGCACTGGAACTGAACCCATTGGAATTGGATGTAGGGCCCGCCTTCTAGGAACTGACACCCACAGGCCGAATGGCACTCAAAGCACCATCCTTTCTGTGCACATATTGCAGTCCTTAGTTTGCAGCAGAAAAAAGTTATTAGTAAATTATGCATTCTATTTTTGCAAATAAAATCCTTTGGTGTGGTAGAAAGAGTACTGGGCTAGAGGCCTTAGTTTTCTCATCTGTTAAATGAAGGTGGTAATAGTACCTACCTCAAAGCACTGCTGAAATTATTCATTTAAATAGCATATGTAAAACTCCTAACACAGGCCTGATTTGTAGTAGATGCCCAATAAATGGTAGTTTTCTCCCTTCAGGGGCCTCTGATTCACTATGCTTCTTCAGACAAGTCACTTCCCCAAAACTCATACTTGGAATGTAAGGATTGTACCAGTTTGATTTTTGATAATTCCTTCAAGCCCAGCACTTTGTAGTCCTTTGACAAAGGGAGGAAGGAAAGAAATAATAAAGGAAAACAAGGAAAGAAACAAGAAAAGCAAACAAAAAAAAAAGAGGGAAGGGAAAAGAATCCTTTATTACAATAAGGTTAATCCCATGTTTTTACAAATAGCAGTCTAAGTAAAAAAATGTTTTGCTGGGCTGGTTACTACTGAATCTCCTACATAAAGTAGTCTACGGCAATGAATGAATTTCTGCACCACATTTATGCATTTTAGGCTTAATGAACAGAGAGGAAACTTGAGCTGTAGCTAAATTTATGTTTTTGGTTTGTTTGTTTGTTTCCTGTTATCAAATAGCAATCACTCTTTAGTTTTTCTTCCTTTTCACCACCACAAATATTTCTCCTCTGACAAAAGAAGCTTCCATAAAATTCTAGTCTATCCAGTAAACCAAAGGACAGTAGTAAATGTGAGAAAAAATACCAGGGGCATGGAGAAAGAGAGTGGAGTGGGAGGATGCACAGGCTCAGGAGCAGGGCTGGAAGCATGAGAAGTTCTGTACGTTTCAGAGTAACTGGAGATGTATCTTGATCTATTTCTGCTGGTGACTCTGTGTGCCTGTGCATCTCTCTGTTCCATTTGTCTATTCAGTCTGTCCATGTTTATTGAGGGCCTGCTGTGTGACAAGCCTGTACTAGGATCAAAGAAGCAAAGTATTGAGTGAAAGGTGTATTTTTGAGTGGACCCCCACATCTGTCTTTGAGCAGCTGTGATCCTGAGGGTCTCTGGGTCTGTTTTGGGTGTGTGGGTGTGTGTGTGTTTCTGTGTATCTTTTATGACTCCAGGTGTGCATGAGAGTGATTTTTGTTGTTCTCCTGGCTTCATAGGACTTTCTTTTACCTGCTGTGATTCATTACACAAAGAGCATTTGATTTTTATAACCTTCCCAATTGGGAGTATGATAACTAGCAATTTAAAAACAGTTAGAAATCCCATTGAGTTCTCTCTTACAGAAGTTTTACCTGTACTGATGCCATGAAAAATATACATCTTATTAGTTCAAGTATGATTACACATGTCAGTAGGAGGGAACGTTGATTGACCTCAAGAGTTTACTTTGCCATGCTAAAGGAGTAACAGTTTCCACAACTGATCATTTTCTCATGGACATTCCTGGCTTTCAGTAAAGGTAGAGCATCTTGTTTAAAGAAAACAGTGAGTAGTCCTAATAATGGAGCTATCAGCAGGACCTGAATTATTCATCCCTACAAAAAACACCTACGAAAACCAAACAATATAGAAATAAATTAAACCAACCTGTTTTACTACTTAGTTTCTATGTGATCAAATTGTTTGGGGCTGTTTTCTGTCCACTTCTCTCATCTGGTAGGATATTTTTTCACACCTTTTCTGCCTAAAAATACGCATGGCAAGAGACTCTGGAAACACATTTAACAGATCTGTCTACTCTTGCATTTGTTCTCCCAGGGAAACAGAAGTACCTGTGTGCCAGCAGAAATGATTGCACCATCGATAAATTCCGAAGGAAAAATTGTCCATCTTGTCGTCTCCGGAAATGCTATGAAGCAGGGATGACTCTGGGAGGTATGACACTTTTCCTGTTTCTCCTCCTCCTTCTCCTTCCTTCCTCCCTCCTTCTCTGGTTCTCTCTTTAAACCAGATTCTCCTCTTTGATGTTTGGGGGGGGGGGGGGCAGCCATGCTCTAGATGCAGGCTGACCCTATTAAACCCAACATGGCCATCACCCATCTCGTGCCTTCCTTCATCCTTAACCATGCCACTCTCCAGTCTGGAGGTTGGCATAGGAGCAAGAGGTTGAAACAGGGATTAGGAACCAATGGAGGATGAGTGAGTATGGACTTGACTGGGCGGTGTTCCCCAGGGGACTTAATGGTACTGGCTTGATGTTGTTCATTTGTAGCTAGGATGAGGGAATTAAGGAATCCAGAACAGTCACAGGTGCAGGATGACCCAGGCACAGGCTGGCCCTGAACACACAGGAATGTCCCTCAGCTAACTGTTGCCTATGTTGTGGGGCTGGCCACCTGGAATGAGAAACTGCTTCTCTTTGGAGCTTGTGACTAGGCTGCCAAACAGAGCCAATTTCCTATCCTACATCTCCCAGGGATGAGCAGGCTTTTTAATCATTTCCTTTTCTTTGTAAATCTATTGACCATTTCCAAAAGCATTTTTTTCAGCAAAGTATCTTGATAGAAGGAAGATACAGCTCTTTCAAAGGCAATCCTTTATCATAATGTTCTCTGTCCCCCGAGCCTGTGTCTACCATGAGCACTGTCAGCATTCCCGAAAGGATTGGCACCAGTTGACTGACACTTATATTGTCCCTCTCCAAATTCCTCATCTCTTCATATTTCCATCTGCCCGTTGCCTGGGTCCTCCCTGCTGCCTGCTGCTTATGAAAAGATTCATCTTTCATGAGAAAAGCAAGCTCATTAGTCTACTTTGATTTGGAAATGGAACTTAAAGAAAGGCAAGCCTATTTCTTAGTGCCTGAAACTGTAGCCTCATACCTGATTGTTTATTTGCTAACCTGGAAAATCCAAGTGCCTAGAATTCAGCCCTCTTTCCTCCCCTCTCAAGGCTAATTTAGAGCAATTATCCATCTCTTGGTCTGTGTGAGGTGCTCAATACCTTTTCTGTCTATGTACACATTTATAGACCCTAACTTGATTTCTAACCCTGGAGCAGGGCCATGTGTGGATCTTCACATAGGTAATGATATCCTCCCCTTCTCACAGGCCAGCAGTATTCTTTGAACAGACCAAAGTGCCTCAAATGAATTGACCTAGGCTAAATATGACACTGTCTCAAAAGAAGCATCCCAAATAGTGTCTAGTATTCTAAGACATCACAGGCAGAAGCTCTGTAAGTTGCTTTCTAGGGAGCTGAATCTGGGAAAAAGCCAACCTTGTTATTGTCTGCTTGGTGTACTCTAAAGAAATCCTACGGTTGTATTCTGCAGAGGGGAGGAAGAAGCAGGACTGGAGCAGAGGTGCATAGAGGGAAAGCCAGGAAAGATGACATAGGGATTGACTAGGGCACGTTTACTCCATATGAATGTTGCAACCCTATGGCAAGGGTTCTGCTACACTTAACTCTCAATTATTTAGCCTTCTATAAATTATGGGTAAAAGATGGGGCTCCCAAGTAAAGAACCCCTTGAATTGCAAGCCCACTTTGATGCAGGTAAAGTTTCATGGTAACAAAAGTCCTCATAATGTTTGGGTCCAAGTCTTAAAATTAGTTCCATGTCTCGGCTAACGTCCTGCATTATAAAGCAGTGTGTGACATGATTATAGTGAACCCTTTTGGAAAAGAAGCCTGTGTATAAAATAGCAGATACTTTCACTACCCCACATAGCACTCAGACATAAGTTTGTAAATTAATTTATTGGAGAGAGTGGTACAGTAAGTTTTCAAATTGATTTATTGGATACAGTGCTCAAATTTAAGTGGACTTGGTCAACACAGTGAAGTTAAGCTGAGAAGTAATGTAGCTGGCTTTTGTTTCAGTTCCATTCCCATGATATTTACTGAGTGTCTGCTGTATGCAAGGCACTGTGCTAGGCATTAGAGGTTCAGGCTGACAAAGTTCAAGAAATGCCCACAAGATACAAGGATTCTTCATGTTCTGTAAACGGCCTTGCTTTTGGAGTCAGGCAGACCTAGCAGTTAAAGGCCCGGCTCCATTCTTTACTGCTCCGAGTCACAATTTCCTCATCCGTAATTTAGAGATACCACCCTCACAGTTATAATGAGGATCAGATGACATGATGAATATGAACATCCTTGAGAAATGACAAAGTGCTAGGCAAATGTGGGGGTTTATTGTGACAGTGAGGTCACTTGCAATGAAGCTGGTAAGGCTGTTCACAGTACTTCCCAATGGCTTTTACTCTTGCATTGCTTGGCATGCCCAATAATATGTAACAGCGCCAAATTACTCTTGATCACCTCACACCCAAAAGTATCACCAGGATGATTCTGCTAGGAAGCTGATTATAGCAATTAAGGGAATCCTGTGTTATGTTCAAGTACCATGTCAGTAAAATCTCAAGTGTTTACCCTCTTAAACCACTGCTTAAAAAAACAAACCTTTCGGGCCGACCCCGTGGCTCACTCAGGAGAGTGCGGTGCTGGGAGCGCAGTGGCGCTGGGAGTGCCGAGGCCACAGGTTCGGATCCTATATAGGGATGGCCGGTGTGCTCACTGGCTGAGCGCGGTGCGGGTGACACCAAGCCAAGGGTTGCGATCCCCTTGCTGGTCACAAAAAAAAAAAAAAAAAAAAAAAAAACCATTCCACTTTGCTGAACTTATCTCCACATTCTCTGCCTTTCTGACACAAACCCCTCCCCAGTTTATTGCTAACTTGCAAATTCAGTGTACACCATACCTTTAATCAAACGATTGAAAAATTAAAGAAAGCATCAGTACAGAGTGAGCCTTTTGACTACTTTAGACTTCCATTTTCATAAGATTTGGGTTTAACTTAGGAGAATTCATACAATTTTGTTTTACTCCCATCACTCAAATTAAAATTATATAATCTATTCCAAAATGACAACTAGAAAAGTGGCCTTGGGCAAGTCCCTTCTCCCCTGTAAGACTCAGTTTTCCCATCAGAAAATTAGGATAGTGGGCTTCACCAAGGACCATTGTGGTGTTAACATTTTGTGGTTCTGTGTCTACAGTCATAATCACCCTTCTGGATTGTCTATCCCCTGCTCCCAGAAGTATAGGTAGTCAAGACTTGAGTGCCTTGAGTTGCATAGTAATTTTAGCTACCTCCATTCACACGTACATAAGATATATTATGTGTGTATAAGTAGACTGAATGGATAGAGTATTGAGGAAGTGGAGGAAAGAAGGGCTGTCTTTTTATCTTAGAGAAGCTGGCACTCTGTGGCTGATGGCTGCTTTGTCTTGAGCCCTCAAGATCTCTAGTCTGTCTTTCTCTATCGTGCCCCATCCATTGTTTGCTAATGAGATCTCCTCAACTCATAGATGCTTAAGACATACAGCCTTTTCTTTCCTGCTTCCAGACCCACCTACCTATTCTTTGCTTCTTTTTTTTTTTTTTTTTTTTTTTAGCAGCTCTTGGTGTTTCTGAAAGGGTTCTGAGGGTGGTTGCATTCTCAGGATGGTTCCCTTAAAGAACACTTCCAGGCTCTCAACTGCTCATCCATGACAAAGACAGGCCTTTCTTTACACATGAATCATTTCTGGCTGTGTTTGAAAACCACATATTGCTAATTACTTCAAGAATTTAAATCCCTTGCCTACTTTTTAATTAAGAAAACACTTATAAATATAACTTCTCAGATAAGGACCTTCCCTCCAGTGAATTAGCTCTGGCTTTTTCACAGTCCATAATTAGAATAAATGCACAGCCATCTCTCACTTTTCTCTGGATACACTCCCAGTTTCCAGAATGGAATGAGAAAGAAAGAATTGCCTTTCCTGCCATCTTCTCCCCTGAGTCTTCCCTCCTTCCCACGTTCCCTCTTATTCCTCCCCAAACATTATTTTTGTGTGTGTGTTTTGCAACTCTTGAGTTCTCAGCTTCAGTAAATGGCATTGGCTCCTGTTTACTCCATTCTATCCTGGACCATGGAAGGTTGTAGGTCTTTTAAGAATTTCAGGTAGCAGCCAAACCTCAGAAGAGGAGAAGGGACGTGGGGCTCCAGAGCATGTGAGAATCTGAAGTATACAACATTCCCTTCATATGTTACTTTAGCATATTTGAGGAGTCTCTTTCTTACTAGGAGATTTAACTCTGCATCTGAGAATCAAAACTTAACAGATCTTCAGGTTTTAACAACCTCTATGATTCTCTATATAGGAGGGTGGCTAAGGGAACCCCTGGCCATGGTCTGATGCCACCATGGATGCTACGAGCATCTTTTCAGTTTCCAGTGTGGAAGACAGTCCTGATGCTAGCTGTCTCATCATTCTACATGCTCAAGAGTAACTCAGCATTGCTACCCCTGGATCACATGTCCTAGATGCAAGAGAGTGATTCCCATGTTGAAATAATATTCATGACATGGTTCTTCACATTATTTATTCATCCACTTATCTATCCATCCATCCTTTCAGCCAGCCAAGAACTAGTGCTTTCATCTTTCCAGCCACTCACTTATCTATTCATCAATTTAGCAAATATTTATTGAATGCCAGACACTATGCTAGGTATTTGGGGGAAGCAGAATTGAATAAAGTTAAACAAGAAGAGACAGGCAGTAATAATGAATACACCTTAGCCTTAAAGGATAAATAGGAAGTCACTAGAAAGAAGTTTAGTGAGATGGAAAGGAAAAGATATCCAAGGCAAAGGACACAGTTTGAATAAAGTCACAAAGACATGAACAAAATGCACTTAGTATTTGAGAAACAGCAAGTATTTTAATATGGCCAGAGCTGGAGAAATGGGGAAGGCAAGCCAAAACCACATTGAAAACAAACTTGGTCATCATGCTAAGAAGTTTTGACTTTGGGCATTTGAAGATCTATGGCCATGAGACAGACACGATCACATATTTTATTTGCATGGGTTTTTTGTT